CAAAACTGTAAACAACGCGGGTGTTCTTGGTGAGACTACCAGATAAGCAAATTCTGGTGTGTGTGTTTTTTTTTAAGTTTATTTATTTATTTTGAGAGAGAAACATGGGAGGGGCAGAGAGAGAGGGACAGAGAATCCCAAGCAGGCATCCGCACTGTCAGCACAGAGCCCGGCGTGGGGCTCGATCCCACGAACCGTGAGATCATGACCTGAGCCAAAGTCGGGCGCTTATGCGACTGAGCCCCCAGGCGCCTCCACAAATTCTGGTGTGTTTGTATAATGGGATGCTACTCAGGACACCACAGCATGGCAAGCAAGCTCACAAGAGCACGAACGAAACCCAACTACGTTCTGCTGAGCGAAAGCCGTCAGGCCCAAAAGAATATGTATGTATGTATGTATGTATGTATGCATGTATTTACCTTTTTTTTTTTAAGGTTTTATTTATTTTTGAGAGAGAGACAGAGCATGAGCAGTGGAGGGGCAGGGAGAGAGGGAGACACAGAACCGGAAGCAGGCTCCAGGCTCCAAGCTGTCAGCACAGAGCCCGACGCGGGGCTCAAACTCATGAACCGTGAGATCATGACCTGAGCCGAAGTCAGACGCTTAACCGACTGAGCCACCCAGGTGCTCCTCAAAAGAGTATTTAATATATGCTTCCATGTAGATGACATTCAAGAACAGAGAAATTATTACAACACCAGGGCAGCGGCACACAAATTCATCATACCCTCCTGGTGCAGGTACCCTAAGAAGAGAAAAGTTGCTCGAATCTGATCTGGAAATCCGTGGGTCCTGGCCGAGGCCACGACAAAACTGTCTTACAGAATCCTGGTCTCTTGCAGAAGAGCCATTCCAACGGAAAGGAAACCATGGGATGACCCCTTCCCTAGGTCTTGGCCCCAAACAGAGAATAGGACCCAGGTGTGGCCCCGATGGAGAGAAGCTGATGACGGCACAGTATGTCCCGGTTAACGTGGCTGCGTAACAAACACCCCGGAACTCTCTGAAATCAAACAGCCATCCATCATGCTCAGGAGGTTTGCAGGCCAGTGATTAGAAGAGACCCCGGGTCCATGGTGTCCAGAGCCTCAACCAGAAGGAGCCTCAGAGCGATGCTCCCCACTCTGTGTCTGGGACCTGGGCTGCAACCGGCATTCCTGAGGGCTCTGTCTGTCTCCACATGGCCGCCTGCTCCAGGGCAGGCGTGTTCTGAGAGGACACACCAGGTGGAGGTACTGTCGCCTTTTCCCGGCCCAGCCTCATGCAGCATGTGTTCTGCCACGTCCCGCTCGTCAGAAGTGAGCCACTAGGGCCAGCCCGTGGCACGGGGAGGGAAGTCCGACTCCAACTTTTGTAGGAGGAGTGTCACAGAATGTGTGGATACGTCCTAAAGCCACCACACAGAAGAGAGCCGAGTTGTCCACACAGTCGGAAAAGAGCGAGGAAGGAAAAGGCAGAGCCAACCCAGAAGAAAGCCCACAACAGCTCCTCACAAACACTCCAGCCTCTAAGACAACCTGGTAAGAGACAGGATGCAAACGCATCAGTAATTACAATAAACATAAAGGACTACGTTCTATCAAAGGATTGAGAATCTGAGATTGGCGTTTGAAAGAAGGAAAGGAACACAGCCATTTGGTACTTATCAGAGATGCACCAAAACACAAAAACGCAGTATGGTCAAAAGTAAAAAAGGAGGGGCCCCGGGGGGCTCAGTCAGTTGAGCATCCGACCTCAGCTCAGGTCACAATCTGGTGGTTCACGAGTTCGAGCCCCACGTCGGGCTCCGTGCTGACAGCTCAGAGCCTGGAGCCTGCTTCGGATTCTGGGTCTCCCTCTTACCCTGCTCCTCCCCCTGTTCTCAAACATAAAATAAAAACATAAAAAATAATAAAATAAAAAGGGAAAAAGATACTCCAGGCATCTACCAACCAAAAAACAAATGCTGACATAGCAATATTGATTTCCGACAATCTAGAACTTAGGGCAAAGATTAAAAACACCGCCAACCTAGAAATAGGAAGGCACGCTGCTTAACGAAAGAGGGAATCATCCACAAAGAGTGTTTCTCAAGCTTTTTGACTCAGATCTGCAACCAGAGTTTCCAAAGTGCTGCTTTTACCACGCAGGCTGCAAGGCCTGTGGTCCCTGGTGGGGGGCCAGGGGGCCTGAACTGCCGGTGGAGCTCAGAGGGTTTCAGGGCAGTGGAAACGCCCAGCGAGACACTGCGATGGAGGGTGCCTTTATACGTCCGTCCAAGTGCACCGAAGCCACAACACGGAGAGCGACCCCACCGTGAACCATGGACTCAGGCAAGGACCCGTCAGTGCAGGTTCATTGGCTGGGTGGGGGCAGGGGGCATGTACGAAATCTCTGCACTTTCACTCAATTTTGCTGTGAACCTAAAACCACTCTGAAAATAAATACTAATAATAAATATTTTAAGTGTGTCAAACAAGTTCACCGTTTAAAAGTGGGATTGTAACTCACCTCTCTAAGAAGGGGACAAATCAAGCGGACAGAAAAATAAATAAAAAGACAGCAATGCTCCACAACACAATGAACGAACTTGACCCAATAGATAAACACATTTGGCCAAGAGAAAATACACATTTTGTCCTCAAGCACATATGGCCATTTTCAAGAATGGATGTGGTTCCAGAGCAGAGATCCAGAGAGTCAAGGGTTCAGGCTTGTGGTCCCTGTGGAGAGGCAAGATAGAGGTAGAGGGCCTTGGGGAGCGAGGCTCCTCCGATTTAGGTCTCACTCAGGGCTGTGGCTTAGACAGGTAGAGCAGGAGGCCAGTCAGAGGGTGGCCTTAGCAACCTGTGACAACACTGTGCCTGCCCAGCAGGGTGCCCCGCCAGCAGGGAAGAGGAGGGGCTCTCTGGAGGGAGAGCCCAGGGCCTGGCAGGCTCATTTCCAGCCCCTGGAGGAGTGCGGTGCCCCGCCTGACAGCAAGCCCCGGGGGGGGGGGGGGGGGGCCGCCCGGGGGGACATTTGGGAGAGGATGGCCGCAGGAGAGCAGAGGCCCAGGTTCTCGAGCCACAGGGCAGGCCCTGGACACAGGATGGGAGGCCCAGCCCAGCGGCCCTGCTCCCTGAAGGACACTTGGCACCTGGATATCCGACACTCATTTGGAGAGCGCCTACTGCCTACACATCACTCTTCCCGGTCCCCGAGCTCTTCTGCCGGCTACCCCTGATGTGTAACTCGGGGCTCGAGGCCCAGAAGACGCTTAGCAAATACACGTAGAGGCACGCGTGCCGGCGGCGCCCTCTCTGGTCCGGGTCGGAGGGCGGCACTACATTCCCAGTGGACCCTCAGCCAGCCCCCAGGAAGGGAGGAGGGGGCCCTCTGTCCCCCCCACTGGCTGTGCCAAGAGGCTGCACTCGTGTCCTCTGACCCTCTTCAATATGCTTGCAGGGATCACAGAACGGAGGGCGCCCCGCGACCCCGGGAGGGTACAAGCTGAGTCAGAAGGGTCCGCCTTGAGCCTGCAGTGGGAGCCACCCTCAGCTCCACAGACCCCTGTCGCCCAAGTCCCACCCTCTCTGGCCGCGCCCCCCCCCCCCCCCCCCCCCCCCCCCCCGCCAGGGCCCAGCTCCGGGTCCTGCTCCCCGGCAGCCCTCCCTCCTCCCGGGGCGTGGGGAGCCAGTGCACGTGCATGGTGGGCCTCCCACACCCACACTGAGCCAGAGAAGCCAAGTGGGGCTCGTTCCGTGTGACCCCCCAGTACATGCGGGAACTCTGGAGGCAGAAACTGTGCTCTGCAAGTCGGGGCCCTCGCTCCCCCTGCTGCGGGCGCTGGGGGCAGAGGGTCCCCACCGGACACCCACCCTTCTGAGGGGTGGGGTGCGTCTCTGTGCAGCAAATCAGGAGCTGACGGGTGTACCCGCCACCCGTCCGGCTCACTTGGGCCCCTTCTCATGGGGTGTCTGCAGGCACACCTCAGATCTGCTCAGGCGAGCCTCCGAGACCCCCACCCCTGAGATGCTTTCCTACCGCCCACTTTCCAGCAATGGTCTCTCCAGGCCACCTGAGCACAGACACCGCCTGGACCCCCTCTCATCCTCTCTGCCCGTGGAGACGGCCGTGCCTCTCACTAGTATCCCCATGACAACTTTCACTCTGACACTTCTTGTCCGGGCGGGTCACAGGCCACGGGACACAGATCCACAAGCAGGAGCCTCCAGGCTCCACCACGCCCAATTAGCGGATGTCCCCGGGGCGGGCTCCCACGCTGGCAACTCCACAACTGAGGACTGCCCTTCTGGGCTTGCACTGTTCCTGAGGTCTCCCTGCAAGCGGGCCACTGCAGAGACCCCCGCGCCCCACGCCTCTCCACCAACGAGGGCGAGGAGGAGCTCTGGGCATGACGGGACGGACTCCTCCTGAGAGGAGTGGGGAGCCTTCAAAGCATCTGTAGCGGGAGGCCTGGTGGTCAAGGGACCCCTAGGAAGGGCGGTGGAGGGCAAGAAACCAAGGACAGCAGACCCCACAGACAACTGCGGAGAACGCCTCGCTCGTGGGGAGCCCGCACGGGCCCTCCCTCTCCCAGCAAACCTCCCCAGCTGCCCGGCCAGAGCGCCCGACCAGGGCCAGGGAGCTCGGTCCACACCCCGGCCCTGCCACCCTCTCCTGGCTCCACCTTCCCCCACGTGAAAGCAGGGGTCAGGCGGGTCCACTTCAGCGTGGTGGCCCTGCACTCTCACCTCAGGAACCCCTCCCTTGCGGGACCCTGAGGCTCGGGCAGGGGGGCTGCCGCCGCAACGCCATGAGGTGAACCTGACCGCCTTTGGGCGTGTGGAGGTGCGCCACTGTCCGCAGCCCACCCACCGCTCAAGGACATCATCACGCCCCTTGGCCTCCAGTAAACTGCACGGGGAGGGTGGGGCGACGGGGAAGGCCCCCAGACCACCCTCTCAAAAGCAGGCGGCAGGCCGTGTGCGCCCGCCTGCGCGAACTTGACCCGCGTCGTAAGAGTCGGACACAAATTACGAAAAATGTTTTTACTTTAAATCAAAGTACCAAGCAGATACTTGCAAAACAACGTACAAAGTAGAACCCGGATGCTTCCCTGCCCCAGGCACCGACCCTGCCCCCAGAAGCAGCCTGCGGTTCTGGCCCCAGGGGACTGGAAGGGGCGCTCGCACCCTCCCGGGGTGGCACAGGTGCCAGGCAGGGGGAGGGGCTGCGGTCATTTCTGAAGCTCTGGTGTGAACTTCCCTCCAGTGCCCTGTGGTCTGAGAGCAGGGGTGGCAGCTTCAAAGGGGGCGGGTGCGCCCGACTTTGACAAAGGCTCCAAGAGCAAACCGTGGTCTTATCAGCCACATAGTTTCCTGTATGGTCTGAGCTGGTGCAGACGGGCAGGACTAGCTGGGCCGTGCCCACGCCCGCGGGGTCACACTGCCGAAGGCGTCAGGACTCAGTGGAGAGGAGTATAGACACCAGCTGACCCATGACAACAACAAACTAGTTCGCAACAGAAAGAAAACGGAAAAAGACCACCCCAGTGGCTTGACTCGGGGGCCAAGACCCGCTCAGGTAGTTCTGGGGCACCTGACAGATGGAAGGACGGACAAACAACCCAGTTCCCTTCAAAGCACAAAGTGGGGCAGTGGCTTGTCTCTGGAGTTCCCCCCTGCCTTCCCCTAGAGAAGAAAGAGTCTTCAGCAGGCAAAAGATCTGGAGGGTTGGGGGGCGGGGGGGCACGGGAACCTGCCACTTGAAGGCTCGGGCCTGCCGTGGGGTGCTGATGGAGAGGGCGCCAGGCCTCCAGGGGACCCCTACCTGGTCCTCCTCCTGGGTCTCAAACAGACCTGGTGACAGCCCATGGCGGCCGTGGCCGTGCCCATGGGCAGTCTGGGCCTCCCAAGTGCCCTCAGGCACCAGTGTCAGCCAGCAGGGGGCCAGGGGAGTCCCAGGGAGCCCAGGGGCCAAGCTGTCACGGTGGCCCCACCAGCGGACTGAGCACAGGAGTCGATACTAAGCCCCCAAAAGTCTTCCTCCGCACCTGACTTATTCTGTTTGCACCCTACCACCACCCGCCCCCCCCGGGGACCAAAGCCCCAGGGGCACAGCCACCGTCACACTCCCCTGGGGTGGGGGGGGGGGCCTGCTGGTGCTGACAGCTCACAGCAGGAACCACCAGCACAGTCGCCCGCGGGCCATCCCTATGGTCCTGTACAAAACACTCTGGAACCCAGAGCGAACTCGGGAAGCCTAGGCACTCAGCATTGTTTAGTTTGAAAATGCTATAAATTTGACTCTTGCAAGAAGCCTACTAAACAATTCACTTAAAAACACCCACAGTGCGTGTGCAACGGCCCCTGGTGCTGAGCACCTGCCGGGCAGAGGGAGGTGGGGGTACTGCCCCGTTCTCGCCCCAAGGCAGATGGCAAACTCAAGCTGTCAGGGCCCTGGGTCCACACTCCAGTCCCAGCCCCCCCACCCCAAGACCGGGGCCACGCGCAGACCCGCAGCAGCACCCACGCTGTCCCGGAGACAGGGGAACAGGGTGCCAGGCCACACTAAACCTACAGAAAACTGTGGGAAGAAACCAAATCCATAGGATCCATGGGTTTCCACACTTGGGGACGGTTCCCAAGACATGTGTTAGCGACACCCCCTCCCCCAGCCGGCTCCGGCCCACCCAGGGGCCCCTCGCACCCACAGAGTCCGCACCCCACTCCCCGGCTCTGCCTCCTCATCCTCTCTGTCCGGCTCCTCATCAGGCCTGACGTGTAAACAGTATCAACAAGCAACAGATGGAAAAATGTATTTCCCAAGAAAGAAGGGGGAGGAGGCTCCGAGTGGAGGGCTGACCGCACAGGTCTGTTGTGTTCGATCCCTTTTTCTTGCCGTCTGTTTTGGTGTTTCCTCTCTTTGGTTCAGCCCAACGTGGCCCGCAGGGCGCTGGCACTGTGCTCCCGCCCGGCCGCGGCCTGAGGAGAGGCGGCCGGCCCTGTGCCCACGGCGGGCCTCGTCCTCCACCCACGTCTACTTGTGCTCACGGCCTTCCGCCATGGCGGCCACCTCGATGGTGGCAGTGTGCTCCTCGGGGCCCGAGGCGGCCACGGCGCTCTCAACGGCCCCTGTGGGCACTGTCACGATGGTGCTGCCCCCGGGCGACACCTGAGCCACGTTCTGCAGGGTGGGGCCCAGGCCGGGCAGGGTGAGCAGCTGTAGGGGGCTCACCACCTTGACCACAGTGCTGCCGTCCTGCATGGCGGCCGTGCTCAGGACCGTGAGGCTGGACGCGTCCGGGTGGATCTCCACCGTGCTGGGGAAGGTGGCACCCGACGAGGCCAGCACCGTGTAGCCCCCGAGCAGCGGCGAGGCTGGCGAGCCAGCGGGAGCAGCCTGCGTGGGCCCCTTGCCCAGCGCAGGAGAGGGCAGGGCGGACACTACTTTGCCGAGCGGCACGCCGGTCAGCTGGGAGACTGGCACGCCGGGGCTGAGGGCGATCTGGGCAGACTGGGTGAGCACCTGCGAGGCGATGGCGGCCGGCCCGGACGTGGCCCTCGCGAGCCGTGGCCGCTTCGCAGGGGGCGGCAGGGAGACGGGCGTGAGTGTCATAAGCACGTTGCTGAGGTGCTGAGATTTGTGCTTGAGTTCCTTGGCTCGACGTCGGTGCTCATCACACTGCTGTTCCAGGGCTGCGGGAGGACAGGGACAGAGCGTCACCGTGGGGATGGCGGGGGGTGGGGGGGGGCGGCAAGCCTAACGGGGGGATGGGAGCATCACTGCAGGGACACGGCTCGCAGAGCAGGGACAGGGAGGGAACAGAGTGTCAGACCACACACACCCTGACCAGGGGCCTGTGCTGACACCACAGTGATGCTCTGTCCCTGCCCCGCCCCACCCCGCCTCCCACAGTGACATTCTCTGTGGGGCCTGCACTGACTGCCCCTCTGAGCTGCCGGACGAGGGGACAGACCTTCCCCATCCTAACCCTCCAAACTCTGTAATCTCTGCGCGAAAGGTCTTGTGACATGGTAGGATAAAAAGCAGGTCAACACCCACACATAAGCTCCCCAAGTGTAGACGCCGAGGGAGACCCGGAAAGACAGGCACAAATGTCAGAGGTGACTCTTAATCACCGCCCCCCTGCCTAGTCCTCCCCGTAAATAGCCGTGTGTTGAATTCCACACGCTCCGGCCCCGCGTCACGGCTTCCCTGCATGACAGCGCGAGGCTCTGCTGGTCTTTCCCGACTCCCCGGCTCTGCCTCAGGCTCTCGGGCTCTCCCACAGTCCCTATCTGGGGCTAGGGATGGCCGGGCGGCCACCGGACGCACCTGCCAGGTCCCGGGCGTACTGCTCCCGGGAGCGGTCCATCTGGCACTTGTGGCTGGCCAGCACCTTCTTCACCAGGTCCAGCATGCCGAAGTTCTGCACGATGTTGTTGAGGAGGACGGCATCTTAAAGGGCAGGGCGAGCACACGCTGAGAATGGGGCCCGGCCTGACAGAGGAGTCCCAGGGACACACGGCGTCCCACACACGGCCCTCTTCCGCCACCAGACGCCCAACCACGGCGAAGCGGGGGCAGGCTGCATATCTGGCACCCTGAGGCCACCAAGCACTGCCCTCCCCCCACCCCCCCGCACAGAGTGGAAGATGCCAGGCAGACACAAGCCCCTCACCTCGGAGCTGCAGGGGAGGGTCCTGGACCCGCTGCTGCAGGCCCTTCATGGTCTCCATCAGCTCCTGGTGGAACTCATGGATGACCTCGTCCAGCAGACCAGCATCCTTGAGCCCTCGCCAGAAGGAAAATGTGTCATCTGTGGGGGGCGGATGGGCTCAGAAGAATGCACAGAGCAGCCCCTGCAGGCCTCTAACCACAGGCAGGGGCAGAGAGCTGTGGATCAGGGGCCGAGGCCCTGCAGGCAGTGCTCTGCGCGCCACACCGGCACCTCCTCCAGGAGGCCCTCCGGCCCGCCTGCACCCCTTCCAGGGCTGCCCTGCATGCGCCGCCGCCCCCACACTGCCACCCACCGGGAGCCCGCCTGCCCGGCGGGACCCGTACCTGCGATGGCCGTGGTCCAGTCACCGGGGTCCTCACAGGTCTCTATGGTGATGGTAGCGGGAGACCCGTTCACTGCAACCCAGACGGAGCCACAGTGAGCCTTGCCTGACAACGAGAGGCCTCCCAACCCGCCATCGAAACGCCAGCTCTGAATCTCCCCCTCGCACCAATTTTCACAGAATCCGCAAACATGTGTACCTGCCTCTGTCAAACTTCTTAATCGCAGATGTCTCCAAACGCACACGACCAAGAAAGAGCTAAGTAAGCCTCCCTGACCCCATCGCCAGCTTCCGCGACTGCCCACATTCTGCTCTTCCGGCGGCATTTACGCCCTTACCAGCACCCCCAAGGCCTCGACACGGCCCTGCACCTCCCCGGGTCAGGAGACGTGGGACTTTGAGAGGGACCCGCGCCGCCCACACTGGCGCGCCCTCTGGTTCGGTTCTGGGGCCCGCACAGCTGCGCACACAGCTGGCGCTTGGCCGCGTGGGGCTGCCTGTGACAGAGGCCTGGCTTCACACAGACCTGTGGCCTAAGGCCGAGGCTGCGTCAGCTCCCCAGCCTCATGCAGGCCTCCTCTACGACCAACAAAGATGTCCCGCTAGGGAATATCACATGCTTAGAATAATTTGGGGCATAAATGGATCTTTTCCACAGTCTGGATGATACACAATCTTTGACTAATCACACCGCTGGCTCGGGGTGAACAAACCACCACGTGGGTGAGTCACAAAGAGCAACAGACGGGCCTGTCCCAACCATCAAGTGATGACAGGGTTCAAAGAGCTAAATCTTAACTAAACCCGACGTTGCCTACCTGGGACACCGTGGTGCTGCCTGGAGCGCTCAGAGCCTGGTCCTTTCCTGGAGACAAGATCACTCACCCTGGCTGACTTTCATGAGGCAGAGCAGACCGTCTGGACCCACAACCCCACCACCTCGTAGCAGCCCTATTCTCGTGAGAGCTACTGGCCCACCAGCAGTGGGGAGAGGGCTGGGCTGGGACTCAGGCCGTCCCCACGCTGCACTGTGCTATCCGAGAAGCCAGACCGGGCCCAGCCTGGGGCTGTGCCCAGAAACAAGCTGAAGACCCGAGGCCCCACGTCATTGCAAACTGGAGCCACTGGAGCCACTGGAGCCTCTGACCACCAGCACCGACGTGTTCCTGGAGCTGCCAGGAAGGACTCTGCAGTCTGGCCAGCCCATCGGGAGTCAACAACAGCCTCACCATTGCCCCGGGCCTCTTCCACCGTCCTCCCAACATCCCTCAACGGGCCACCGTCTTGTCTAGCGACGAGGACGGCCCCTGGCCACATGGCAGCACACACAGCCCGACCCCGTAGAGAGACAAGGTAGGGACAAGGCAGGTGACCTCACTGGAAGGGCAACCCCGGGCAATTATCACCAGGCCACAGCACAGGGGACTAGGGACCTAATTCACTCTAACTTCAGCATTAAAAACAATTTCTTCCCAACAGCCAGAAGGCCTCCAGCGAATACTTAGTCCATCCACAGGGCACAGCTGCAGGCGTCAACGTGGAAGGTCACGAACACATCAGTCAAGACCCAAGTTGCAGGAAACACGCACGTGAGTGGAGTGCCAGAGGCTACGGGCTGTGCAGCCCCGGGGAGTGAGGCGGGAGGCTGGGCCGGCCACGTGGGGGCACCCCTGAACCGGTCGGGGCTGGTGACGGGCACTGGACACCTGTGCTACTGTACTTCACAGGCTTTTCCACCCGTGAGTTATGGTATTTTATAATGAAGATGACTGAACAAGAAAGAGTACCTGAATCTTCCTTGTCAACGAAAAGGGCAACTCAGCTAGCCTCTCTCAGGGAGGAAGGGGGCGGTGCTGACAGCATGGGCCCGGAGGGACTAGCCGAGCTGGGGAGGGGAAGGCCAGGCTGCCCTGCCCGGCGGTGGGTGTGCAGAGGCCCACCTCCGTGGGACGGCCGGAGTGGGACTGGATCAAATCGCCGGCAAGAACAAAGCCTCTGAGGGGCACCTGGCTGACCCAGTAGGTTGAGCGTCTGACTCTTGGTTTCGGCTGAGGTCACGATCTCGCAGTCCATGAGCTAGAGCCCCGCATCAGGCTGCATGGACAGCACAGAGCCTGCCTGGGGTTCTCTCTCCCTCTGTCTCTGCCCCTCCCCTGCTCGTTCTTTCTCCAAAGTCAAACATAAAAAAGAGAAAGAACAGAACAAAGCCTCCGTGCCAGTGCGTACCATCGGCCGTGGCCGGTGTGAGTGGAATGTACTCGGCGGAGGTGGGGCTGCTCAGTGACACGCGGGCGCCCGAGAGGTCGATCTTGGTGCTGCGGCAGGTGTTGGAGCAGACCTTGTCGTGCTGATAGAAGTCCAGCTCCCCGGAGTCCATGATCTTCCTGTGGCAAAGGAGACCAGAGACTGAGGACGCGGCCAGGGTTCCAAGTGTGCGGCTGGACCCGAAGGGGACCTCACTGATGTCCCTTGACCCGGCTCAAGTGTCCTCAGGTCCTGGAGGCAAGGAAGCGAAAGCTCGGCCTGGGGGCAGGTCCCAGGAGGGGCAGGTAAACTGGCCAACTGAAGACACGCCCCCACCAGGTGGGCGGTAGGCGCCACTGAGGCTCCAGACAGGCCTCTCCGACGCCCTCCAGCCAAAATTCTGTTAGCCAGCGTGGGGACTGCCTGCCGCAGAAGTGGAAGGTCTGTGGGGACCGCCACCCTGCTGCCTGGTGCCCAGGAAGAGAGAGGAGGGCCCTGCAGGCAGGCATCCCGGAGATGCCCACTCAAGCAGGGTGGGGCTGGGCCCTCCAGGGATGTTCCGCTGCCCACTGGCCCCGGGGCAGCACCCACGGCTACCAAAAGTGCTGACAGTGCACCCACAAGGTGACCGTGAGGCAGAAGAGATGCTCAGGAGCGGCCCGGCCCTGTGCACGCACAACAGGGCAGGGCGGCGCGAGCACCTCTGGCTTCTCGCTGCGCACTCAAGGCAGCTCCCTCCCCGGCCTCGGTTTTCTCAGGAGAGCACAGCATGTCCCCCACCTGCCAGGGACAGCCGTCCCGGGGAGGCCCTTACTACGGCCTCTCTGAAGGGCCTGGGTTTAAGTTTGGGGATGTCTCGACTCACCCGCCTCAACCTGTGAGAGGGTGAGGTGCCTCCACGGGACCTCTGCACTGCTGGGCCTTTGACAGCGTGCCTGACCTCAAGGCTTGCAGATGACCCAGGGCGCACCTCCCCCGGGGCCTCTTCCAAGGAAATAGCCCGTGGCCTTCTCACAGCTGGGCCACCGAGATGCTTTGCAGAAAGTCAGGGGCTCGCTCAATGGACAGGGTGTAGAGGAGAGTCATGAGCGCTGAAGGAAGCGACCCGGGGCCAAGTGCAAGGGTGCGAAGCGGCAGACCCACTGGGTCTCTGGCCACCCGGACGGTGGTTCCCGGGCAGATTGAACAGGGCGGCGGTCCAGGACTCAGCAGAGGCTACAGGCAGTCCCATGCAGCAAACACAGCTGACACAGCTTCTCCCAAGAGTAAACACGTGAAGGCGAGCAGCCCCTTCAGCAGCAGAGTGACCCAGTCCAGCTATCCCAGACACTGTCCCAGACAGCAGCGGCCCCCAGACAGGAGGGGCTGTGTGGCGAGCACAGGTGGGGGTGGGAACAGCCAGCAGAGGTGGCCTTGGCCCCATCAGGCGGGGCGAGTTTGTTACCACCCAAGCAGGAAATAGGAAACACGAATACTGGGGATCTACATTCTTGGGGGACAAACTTACAGCCTAGACTCTGTCCTCAGGGTTCTGAGAAGGGGCACCACCATTCCTGTTTCACAGTGACAGGCAGGGGACAGAAGTCCATTGGGGACGGGTCACACACACCCAGGGTGGCCGGCAGAGCGGGCACTGGCCTCGCAGCTGCCTGAGAACTGGCCCACACAAACGAGCAAAAGGCCCCTTGGGGGACAGAGGCACAAACTCCAATCCTCTCCTTTCTGGGACTCGATGTCACTGACAGAGCGGAGAGCCAGCCCAAACCCTCCTCCAGGTTCCTGATTAACCCTAAAGGGAAAAGGAGGCCTAGGAGCACGGGAGACCTGACCAAGAGCACACCGCCATCGACAGGCAGGCACGGGTGCCAACCCAGCACAACCTCATCCAATGACAGGAAAGGTCAGGAGCTACACGAAGACCGACACGTGGCCCCCGAACTCAGGTGCGGTCTAGACGGGATCCCTGGAGGCAGGCCGGCCAGGCCAGCAAGGGACGATCGGCCAGACGGACACGAACCACGGGTCAGAGACACAGGCGCCTGATCAAGCGTGCCCAGAGACACAGGAGTACTTCCTCTGTCATGGCAGTGCACAGGGAGGTGGTGCGGGGACAGCAAACTGACACAACAAACCCGCAGGCCTGGAAGCCACGTGCAGGCAGGGATTGGGCCGGTGCTGTCCCTGGGCACCGCCGGGTCTCATCCTGTTTACAATGTGCCTCAGCTTAAAAAGCTCAAAAACCAGGGCACCCAGGTAGCTCAGTCGGTTAAGCATCCGACTCCTGATTTCAGCTCAGGTCATGATCTCGGGGTTTGTGAGTTCAAGCCCTGTGTCGGGCTCTGAGCTAACAGCACAGAGTCTGTTTCTCTCTTCCTCTCTCTCTCTCTTTCTCGCTCTCTCAAAACGAATAGACTTAAAAAAAAAAAAAAAAAAAAAAAAGCTCAAAAACCAGCAAAAGAGCAACGGAAAGACAGCTGGCAGGTTTGCGCTCTGGCCCCACGCAGGCCCTCACCTGAGCATGATGCCGTTCATCCGGATGGCCCTCTTCCAGTCCTTCAGTGTGGACTTGCCAGCCAGGTGCACAAACTCCTTTGGGCTGATCACATGCTCGTCATACTGTGGAGGGAAGTGCAGCAGAGCAGGGTCAGGACCACCTGGGGTGGCCCACCTCTCCGGCCCGACCCTTTGCCACAGCCCAGCCGGAACGGGCACGGGAGGACAGGGCTGTGGTGTGGCTCCCGAAGCCGCTGGCTTGCTCTCCATCTGACACTTAGGTTTCAACCAGCCGCAATCTCGATCCGGCAGGGAAAGAACAATTCAGGGGCTGGGGCGGGGAGCTGGCCTCCGGCTGCCCCCAAGCCTGGGGAAGAAGCTGGGGGCCTGGGCCCTCAAAGGAGAGCTCAGAAAGGCAGTCCCTTCCAGATGGGACTCAGCAAACCCACTTGTGCGTGATTTATTCCAGTAATAACGTATACACACGTGACACGAAAACGACACAAGACGGGGTGCAGGCGGAGGTGTGAACTGTTGCCCTCATCCCACCCCGGCCCACCCTCCTCCTGGAGCACATGTCCCTCACACTGGTGCACACACATCCACTTCAATGTCAGGGTTCTGGGGCCAGTGTCACCCAGGGTTGGAGCTCAGGTGGCCTGAGAAGCTAAAATATCTTATTCAATCTTGTTAAGCAAGCAATTCTTGGAACCAAAAAAATCAGAATAATATTGCATGTACTCAGGAAACAAGCAGGCAGGAGGGGGGGGGGTCACCGGGTTGTCGGCAGAGGTGGAAACGGAGGTGCCGCTGGGCCTCCGCTGCTGTCTGGGCTCAGGCCTGGCCGGGAGCAGCCTGCGCATCCTGCTGGGAGCACAGAGCACTGAGCATCTCCGGCAGACTCAGGGCAGACTGGGGTCACGGCCAGTGCAAGCCGCCTGGGGCCCCCTGCCGATGGGAGGGGTTCTCTGAACTTCCGGAGCATCTGCACACTTCCTTCCACCGAGTCCAGGAAGCCACTCGGCCCCTCACCCAGCCGGTCGGGGAGATGGGCTGCGAGCCCAGGCAGCAGAGTCAGAATACCTCTCGGCCGCTGCCCAAGCCGGCAGGAAGCCCACGCTGGGCTGGGCCGAGCCTCTGCCCGACGCCTCCCACCCCCTGGACAAGACACCACCTCTGTCCCACCAGGCGTGATGCCCTCTCCCCCTTCCCCAGGCGTGACATCAGCTCTGCCCCCCCCATCAGGCGTGATGCCCTCTCTCCCCTCCCCCCAGGCCTGACATCAGCTCTGCCCTCTCCCCACTGCCCCCTCCACCACCCCACACGATGCCATCTGGGCCACGGTCTCTGGCCCACCCTGGCCTCACCCCACCGGTCCACCTCTCCCGGGTCTCGCCTTTCCTCCACTCTCGCCTCCACACGCTGCCTTTGCTCCTCTCCTGCCACCGTCTGGGCTGACTGGAACTTGCGGGCTTCCCGAGTTTTGTCTGCCAGTTGGCAGATCGCACGCCACTCTTGGGGTGGGTGCTGTGCCCACCTGCGCTGTCAGAGTCAGGAGCCCACTGGCCCCACCGCCAGGCAGCCATGTTTTCTCTGTTTTCAGTCTTCCTGCAACGTGTCGTCAGAGCAGGAGACACGCTTGTGCTCGGATCACCCACGTCTCCACTTCCTTCACTCGTGACACCCTCTCGCACCTAAGGACCCCTACGTGGAGTCGCTTTCCTTCTGCCTGAAGCACACTTCCCAGGACACCCTTCAGTGAAGCCTCGCTCGTGGCAAACGCAATCTCGGCGCAAACAGACGTTTCGTCCCCTCCAGTTTTTAAAGATGATTCCGCCGTGCGCAGCTCTTCTCCCTCACACAGGACGCAGTGCCACCACCCTCCGGCCACTCTGGGGACTTCCAGGAGCTCAGCCGCCAGCGGACTCTTGCTCCTGAGTAACCGTCTGCTCTCGGCTCTTCCGGGGTCTTCTCTGTGTCTCAGTCTGCAGTTCCATTACGATGCTATCTGCGCTAAACAGGTTTTGGTTTCTAACTTATTTTGCTATAATTTTGAACTTACAGAGTAAACGGAAAACTAGCACAAAGAATGTGCGTCTGCCCCTCCCAGGTTCCCCCACCCCCCCCCCCCCCCACCTGACCTTTCTGCCCCTGCTTCTCGTCCACTCCTCCACACTGTCGGCGGGGGGAACTGTCGGCTCAGGTGCTTGTTCTGAGTTCTGCATCTATTTCCTAAGAAAAAAGGTTCTGCTAGGGAAGCATCACTCCCCAGATCAGGAGATTGCCATTAATATTTAGTATCTAACTGGGCGGCTTGGTCAGTTAAGGGTCCGGCTCTCGTTTTGGCTCAGGTCATGATCTCACAGTTTGTGGGTTCAAGCCCCGAGGTGGACTCTGTGCTGACAGCTCGGAGACTGCTTGGGATTCTCTCTCTCTCCCTCTCTCCCTGCCCCTCCCCTATTCATGCGTGCACACTCTCTCTCTTTAAAAATAAACATTAAAAACCGTATACACACAAACACACACGTGTAATCCAACCAACAGGCAACACGCAGAGTTCACGAACTGCCCCAGTAACAGCCTTTGTAGCAATTTATCCCAAGGCACCACCCTGCCCAGACGTCACACCACACCTGCTCCCTGAACAGCCTGCCTTCATCTTCCTGCCCTCGACATCTCTGAAGTACATACGTGAATTTTTTGTGGACTGTCTGTCCCTCATGTCTATTCATGAGTAGATCCAAGTTATGGATTTCTGGTGGGAATACCAGAGAATTACTGCCCATTCGATCAGGAGCCCTGTGACGGAGGTCCCCTCACTTGGTGAACGAGCCACCTGCCAGGCTTCCCGTGCAGAGTCGCTATTTTTCCTCTACAGTGAGCACCCAATTGATGGGGGCTATCCTGAGACTGGCAAACACCCTAACCGGCTCTCAGCAGCCAGTCTGGGCAGACAGTCTTGGGGCTGAGGCTCCATCCATTTCCACGTCTGTTAGCAGACATCCCAACACGAGAGCTTCGCTTCTATTTATTTGACATAAACACCATAAAATATACTGCGCTAAATACAGACTTACAGACTCTTATCTTGAGTTACAATTCAGACTATCATTAATTATCTCGCTGTTAAATTGTCCCAGATGGAGCCGGGCCTTTGAGTTGGCATCCACAGCTGTTTGAAATTTGGTTGGTTTTTTGTATTCATTTAGTGCGGGATCTGTTAAATCTCTTGGACTGTGGACTGCGATCTTTCTTCTATTGTGAAAGCTCTCAGACCCTTCTTCTCGCCTTCCAGAATTCAACCGATGTATCAACTTTTCTTGAGACTCTATTCCCTCTTTATTTATCTGGATTGTATTCTGGATAACTTCCTTAATCCTACCTTCCAGTTCACGAATTATCTCTTCAAGTGTGTCTAATCTGCTGCAAAAGCTACCCACTAAAGGTTCTATTTTGTTTCATTCGTAGTTTGTTTTCCTAAGTACGTTAATGCTTTTCTCATGTCCGAGCCTCTCTTCCATTTCTTGAGATAAATTAAACCTCATTTAATGTTCCATGTCTCAAAATTCTGACACCTAAAGCGTCTGTGGGTCCCAGCCTGTCCATGGTCTCTGGGCATGCTTGCTTGGGTGCTTGTCTCCCTGCAAACTCAGTTTCACTTGTTTCAGCGAGCTGTTCCTCCCCGGAGACTTCGCTGACATTACTCAAAACCTCCAATAAAGACAAGTTTTTCCAAATTCCAAAAGGGAGTTTTCATTTGCTTCTGTATGATTCCTGGGGGAACTGCCAGCCGCTTACAATTTTCAGACCGTACGGTCACAATGTGAATGCTCCTCAAGAGGGTCCCTCTTTCCCTCAGTGCTAAGATGGGGGGCAGGAGGTCCCTGTCCCAGGGACAGAGGGGGGCCGGGCGCATGTTATTAGTGGTTTGCCCCAACACCAAGGAGAGAACCCCTGAAAAGTAACAGCATCCCAGGGGACAATCCCTGCCCCCCCACCCACAGAGCTGAGGGGAGCACCAGGCCCTACAGGGCGGAAGCGGTCAGTGTGAGGCCAAGGCTCTGCAGGCCGAAGCTGGAGTGACGCTCTGCCTCCCTCTACAGCCCCACCTTTACTCAGTGCCTCGGCTGGAGTATTCCATCCATTTGTGCCAGCTTAAGGAAGCATCTGGAAGACGCTTTAGCACACACCTCATTCAACCTGCCAATAAGACAGCTCCCCCCTCGGCGACTGTGGTGCCCCCAGCGTGAGCACGGCCACTTCCCCAGCCTCTCCCCACGGCTGCGCTCCAGAAACAAGGAGTCAGTACCTCCTGGTGGTTTCCCCTATGACCGCAGCAACAATCCTGTCTGTCCTTGAGGGCTTACGCCTGCTCCTCTGTTCTCCTGAGCATACGGGACCGCCGCCTTCTGCGCCACACACGGCACGGGTCACGCCCCCGCCCCTCCAACCCCAGCGGGGTCTTCCTGTTTGCTTCAAGGCTGCTGTGCCGCGAGGGCCTCCCTCCCCTGCAGCCTGGCACACGTGTCTGCGTCCTGGCTACGTCGGAGCCTCACCTGAACACACTTCACATTGATGCCCGGACACACAAACTTCCTCCAGATCAGGTTGGCCCTGCTGTCCCCGCAGGTAATGGGGTACACGATTTCAGCCTCCAGGCCCTCCTCCTCTTCAGCCACCTTCACTTCTCACAAGGTGCATCGACAGGGAAAGGGGAAAGACAAAATCAGTTACAACCTCTCCAAAGTACCTCCTGCAAAAGCACCACAGCCGCCACACAAACACCAGACGTTAAGGTCCGGGGGGGACTGCGACAGGCGCAGGTGGGCAGCGACGTCACTCATCAGTCCCTCCGGGGTTAGGGTTTCAGGCAAAGTCACAAAAAGCGATTTTGTGATAGTAACGTGAAGATAATCACGTTCGAGTGTGGTTCAACTGAAGAGCCACTTAAGGAAATGAAATCAAGCTTTACTGGGAATCGTTCTAGAGAAACTGATTCCGTTCTGAAGACTTCTGAGGCCTTTGGCTATTTGCTGCCGGTCACAAGGCCAGGGGACTCCGCCCCCCACGGCTGGGAGGACTCTCGGGCAGGAGGGCCCCTCACGACCAGAGGACCGTCGTCGGGCAAACCCTCTCCTGACCCGTCTGCGGGCACAGAGGCGGGAAGGCAGGCTCCCTACCTAACACGGCCTCCTTGAGCTGCGAGGATGCTGTGAACGCGGCCGCGGCAGCCGCCGCTGCATTTTCCGTCTCCATACTGTCTTCCGCCAGGTCGCCCCTAGGAGGGAGGGACACGTCAGCTGGCCCCAAAGACAGCGTGCCTGGCGCACCGTCTGCCGGCACGCCGCCCCTTCCCTGAGGCGCCGCAGGGTCTCAGCAGTGGCTGTGCCGGTCAGGGACCCTGCGGTGATGGTCACTGCGCTGCTGCCCCAAGCGGGCATTTCCCCAAGTGTCCCCGGGGCCACCGGCAGGGCACATCTGTGGAGGCAATAACACCTAAGTGGGAATTTTAAATCTCCTCTTTCTTTAATAAAGCTGTTTATTTCTATTCTAATGACTTCATGCAGTTACAGAAACTGTCAAGAAACGCGGGAGAAAGAAAGAAAAAAGGATGGCCCACAGCTGCCCTCACGTTCCACCACACAACTTGCGTGCAGATCAAACGCACGAGTAAGTGCAAACCACAGGAGCGTTAAACTCAGAAGAAAAGGAATTAAACGGTTTGAAAGCGGTGAAGGATTTTCTCAAATACAAAACCCCAGGAATAAAAGGGAAGGTAAGTTTCCCTTTAAAAAATACAGATAAGGGGCGCCTGGGTGGCGCAGTCGGTTAAGCGTCCGACTTCAGCCAGGTCACGATCTCGCGGTCCGTGAGTTCGAGCCCCGCGTCGGGCTCTGGGCTGATGGCTCGGAGCCTGGAGCCTGTTTCCGATTCTGTGTCTCCCTCTCTCTCTGCCCCTCCCCCGTTCATGCTCTGTCTCTCTCTGTCCCAAAAAAATAAATAAACGTTGAAAAAAAAAATTAAAAAATAAAATAAAAAAATAAAATAAAAAATACAGATAAAAACTTTCTGTGGGGAGGAGAGGGGAAACACCACGAACAATTTTTTTTTTTTTTTTACAGAGAGAACCAGGGGAAAGGGCGCAAGGACAGACAGCTTGTTTCCTGCTGTTATCTAAGGAACCCTCAGATGGCCACGACGGCGTCCGAGGAAAACAGGCCACGAGCTGGAGCAGAGACCCCGACCCGAGGGGTATGCGTGCAGCATATTCGAGCCGGGCCCGCCTGCACAGCAGGGCCTGGGAAGCCAGCCGGGGACCTGCACGGGGCTCCCCTCCAGGGCGGTGCACACCCTCCTCCACGGGGAGAGGTGGACTCGCACACACGGGCCCCGTCGGGAACGGCTCCCGGACGCCCGCGCCCTCCCCTGGCCGGGAACCCACGTGGCCGCTCTCACCGCCCCCCCCCCCCCGGGCCCAGGCCGCGCGCCTGACTCAAATGGCCCCAGCCCTCCTTCCTCCCACAGGGTCGGACGGCCACCCCTGCGCTCTCCTCTCCCCGCCTCTCTGCACATGCACCTGCTCCCGGCCAGGCCCCCCGAGAGCAGCACGCCGACGCCGGGGCCCCCACTCCCCTTTCGGCCCACGGCGCCCAGTCAAAGCCACTCTGCGTCTCCGAGACCTCACTCCACCTCCCGCCGGGTCAGGACGAGAGCTGACGAGAGCAGACTCAGAGTCCGTGGTCTGGGGCCTACGAGGAGCGGCTCGTACGTGAAGCATCACACGGACGGGACACCGGCGCTCCTACCAGGACGCGCCAACTCAGGGCAAGTGTCTTTCCAAGCCAGAGTTTGGAAGCAGGAAGGACAACATCCAAACAGGGAGCAGGCCCCTCCACACAGGAGAACCGGGACCGTCCCCCAGAGAGAACGAGGAAGGAGAGGGAGGCAGGGAAGCGCCAGCCCCGGAGAGCTCGGTGTGCCACATGCAGAGCGGTGGCCCACCGCAGGCCACGTGCACATACAGGAGGCCACCCACAGGGGCCACCCTGGGGAAACCCAGGCGTCCGGCCCCCACCACGACCAACTGTGCCCTGCTCTGTGCCCGCCCACCGCACACACCCCGCGGGCAGGAATCTTTAGTTGGCAAAGTCATTGGCGTTTGTCCTTCAAATTTCATTTGAAAAACGTCCACCTCACTTAGAGCAAATGTTCGTGGGAATGGCTGGCTATCTACAAAATGCTACTCGCTTCTTCCCAGCGTGGCCCACGTGCCCATTGCCAGGGCAGAGCGGCGGGTGGGTGGCGGGCCCAGCGGGCTTCCCTAAGCGAGGGGCACTCCCAAGCTCTCCCTCAAACACCTGGCCGGAAAAGAACTCAGCACCCACAAAGCAGTTAACTGGCCCTTCACCCCACCCTTTCCTAAACACACAGCAAGGGTGAATCTCAGCTTCCACGCAGTAGGGTAGAGGGTAAAATTTGCCACAGAAAAAGAAGAGAAATATCTTTAGGTCCCTTGAGATAAACCTGCCTCCGCTGGGGCGTGGGGTTTCCTCCCCCAGGGAGAAGCCACATGCGGCCCCTCCTTTCCTCCGTAAATGACCAACCATTTGGTCATCTGGGCACCTGGATGGGGGGGGGGGGGGGGGCGCGCGGGACACGAAGCCAGGCTTGACCTGGACCAGAGCACCTCGGCGAGAATGGCTGTGGGTGAGGGCTCCTTACAGCATCCAGGGCGCCTGCCCCGGGGGAGGCAGCTCAGCCTTCCCCAAGTGAGTGTCCGCTCCTGACACAGGCCTGAATCCAAGGGAGGGGGCTCGGGCGCCGCCTCCTGCTGGGGAGGGCAGGTCACTGCAGGGCACGTGGACGAGAGGCGGTGGTGTCGCTGTCTGGAAACCTGCCCTCACCGCCTGCCCGCAGCTGGGACACAGACCACATAAACACTGACCAGAGTAAACGCGAGAACATAGGCAGGAGATCCAACGGAAGGCCCTGCGTTTCCAGACACAGTTATACACTCTGTCGGTGAAGCCCCGAGTATCTGGACATGGAACCCAGCAACCCACCAAGAGCCGGCCCTCCCTCCATCCCATCTGCAGGAGGGTGGGTGACAAAGGCCGGGTCTGGTTTCAGCCCCAACGCTATGCGAGTGAGGCAGGAAGTCTTCAGGCCCGGTCCGTAAGGTGGCTGTGCAAAGGAACGGAAACACAAGCCTCCTCTCTGCCAGCGACGGGAGTCGGCGCTCAGGTCAGGTCCTGGGTCCAGAACCTTCCTCTCAAAAGTTCTGTCGGGCAGGGAAAAGGCCACAGCTCACCCCTGGCCAGCGTGGCGCTGACGTCAGTCTGAACGGGTCACACACAGCAGAGCGGACACCGACAGCAGGCCTGCCCCAGCCCGGGTCCCTCTGGCAGGAAGCGCGAGGGGGCCACCAGTCCCCCCCCCCCGACCCCCGGGTGACCTGTATGTCAGCCCTTCCAGAGGGGGCAGGGGTGACAGAAGGCACACAGGCAGGAGCCATTCTGCCCCACGAGGCAGCTCCCTCAAGTCAGACGTGAACTTCCTTGCCAATGGCTACTCTCTGCACATCTACCGTGAGAGAGGAGGAGGAAAAGACAGTTTTCGTGTGGTATGTCAAGAAACTCACTGGCTCTTCAACTTCATTTTGCAAAAACAGTTCCCGGTTGCTCCCCGTGTCCACCTTATCGAAAGCCAAATGACCACGCGTCTCCAGAAACGAGAACCACGTGACCGTGCTGACACAGGAGGAAAAAAGCAAAGGTCAAGCGCTGTCTCTGCCTCCTGGCTGATGTGAGGGCTCCGTTTCTCCTCCAACTCTCCACTCACACTGACACGTGAGCCCGGTTTGGAAAAAGTCAGTCCGGGAAACTCCGGACGCCCCCGCCCTCACGTGATGCCCCAGGCACCCACCAGGGCCCGAGCGGCCCTCAAGGGACAGAGGCCCTGTCTCACCCGTGAGGAGCCAGGTTGGTCGTCACCAGCACAGTCTTCACCTCCTCCACGCCGCTGCCATCCACCGCCGTGTCCGGCGTCGTCACCACCACCACCTCCTCCATGTGGACGCTCACATCCGGGGTTGCCATGGCTCAGCAGGAGAAGACGCCGGGACCGACACGGTCCTTCGCCAGGGTCCCAAGCCCTAGAGGAAACCACAAGGCAGGGCACGGGGTCTCAGGCGGTCTCTGTGTCTGCACAACGGAGCTCACAGCACCTCCGAGAGCCCCCCTTCGGTCCGGGCCCGCTACTTTCGGAGAGAAATGGCAGCAGGAGGGCTCCTCCAGGGCAGACTGAACAGCACAGCTACCATCCCTGAGCAGAATGCAGGGAGCCGGCGCGCGTTGGCCCAAAAACCCCATGGTCACACAGCAGGGGACAGGGCAGGAGACCAGGACCCAAGCGGACTCCTGTGGACGGGAGTCCCCCCGGCCCCAATCCAGAGGCAGCCTGCATTCCAGAACTGCGCACAGTAAGTATCTGGAGACAAGTCCAATCTCCAGTCTGCAGAAATGGAAGGGAAACCCACACAAGACAGCAAAGGGAGAAGGGCCTTGCTTTTATTACTACTTTTGCTGCTACGGGCTCTGCCTTCAGGCCAGTCCCAGTCCCTGCTAAAACTGTGATGCGAGTAGCCCAGCAGCTCCTAAAGCGCTGAGGGCCTAGAGGCACACTGGTCCGAGGGCTGGGGGACCCCACTTCTCTCCTGCCCCCATGCCGACGCTTGCCCAAGGCAGACCCTGTGCTGAGGTTTCATAGCACCGAGGACACACGAAAGCCACAGGTGTCTGGTCGGAGGAAGGGGACCCTGGGGTCAGAGTGTCGGGGAGGCTGTGCAGAGTAGGGAGGTGTGGAAAGGGTGCCTGTCTGCGAGGGGGCCTGACCCGAAGTGGCAAACCCAGGGTTTCGAGAACTGACTTACACGTCAGCTCCAAAGAGCACAGCACAGGCTCTGAAGACAGAGCTGATGTGAGGACGCTGCCCACAAAAGGAGCTCACCACCTGCAGCCTGAGCCCGACCAGGTCGCCTTCCTGCTGTTACAGAAATGTAACATTCTCTCTGAGTTAAACAAGACCCAGAGCCTCACAACACAAGACTCAGAGCGTCCAGAAAACAATCCAAAATTTTCTGACATAAAAAGAAGCAGGAGGGGCGCCTGACTGGCTCAGTCAGTTAAGCATCCGACTTCAGCTCAGGTCATGGTCTCGCAGTTCGTGACTTCTAGCCTCACGTCGGGCTCTGTGCTGACGGCTCGGAGCCTGGAGCCTGCTTCAGATTCTGTGTCTCCCTCTCTCTCTGCCCCCTGCTCGCTTGTGTTCTTTCTCTGTCTCTCAAAAATAAATAAATGTAAAAAAAAAAAAAAAAAAAAAAGAAGCAGGAAAGTCTGGCCAATTCTCAAGAGAAAAAATAATCCAAAAAAGCCCAGTCTGAAATGAATCGTCAGAGCCTTTAAAGCAGCTGGTGCACCAGGCTTCAGGAATGAAGCCAGATATTCTGGAAACAAACAGAAAGATAGGAAGTCTCAGCACAGGAACAGGAGTTACAGCCAAACGGAGATCTGAGAATTAAAACCATAACAACAACAGAAATACAAAACTCACTGGGTGGACCCACTGTCAGAATAGAGACAGGAGAAGACGGAGGCAGAACAATGAAATGAACAGAGCTCAACAGAAACTACCCAAGCGGACCCGCAGAAACGGGGCGGAAAAACACAAGGCGCAGAGCTCAGGGAACGTGGAAGAGCAGAAGACGGCTGGCCATGTGCAGCACGGAAGCCCCAGAAGGAAAGAAGAGAAGAGCGTGAAGCTGCAAAAATGGTGCGAAGAAATAACACCCGACCGCTTCCCCAGTTCAGTGAAAGGGTAAACACGCGCGTTCAAGTAGCCCGGCAAACGTCCGACAGGACGAGCTCAAAGAAATCCGCGCCCGGACGGCAGTCAAACTGCTGAAAACCAAAGTAAGAACGCCTGAAAAGCAGCCGGGCAACAAAGGACGCACGACTCGTCGAGGGCAACCCAAGGGGCCACAGGGCGCTCCCGGAAAGCCACGGGCCAGCGGGCAGGGGCGCGTACACCGTGCTGGCAGAGAGCTGTCCGCCAGGGTTCTACCAGAGGGAAAGGATCCTCCAGAAATAAAGGCAAAACAGAGACGTTTTCAGATGAAGGAAACGTAAGAGAATTGGTCGCGAGGAGACCTGCCCCAAAGGAGCCGGTAGTGGACGTTCTTCAGACAGAAGGGAAATTCTACAGAGAAATCCCGTAACTTCAAGAACGAGAAAAGAGCAACGGAAATGGTGACTACCTGGGGAAATACACACTACACTACGTTCTTTACACGACAGCTTGAAAGCAAACACTCCGCGCCGTCTGGCGGGACTCGCGACGCACACGACAAGTAACACGCGGCACGCACGAGGGGATGGTGGGGTAGGGGGCTTCTCCGTCCCACCTGAAGCGGGGAAATGCTGCTCGAAGCACACTGTGAAAAACCGAGTCCTTCAAAAGGTGAACGGAGAAACAGATGGTTTGCTTTATGTTCCGAACGACAGATTATTACTCGGAGGCAAAAGTAAATGAGCTATGAAGACACACAAAGACACGCAGGACCTTCCTGCACACCACTAAGCCAAAGAAGCCAGTCTGAGAGGGCCACACTGGGGAGACAGTGAAAAGATCAGCGGCTGCCACAGGTGTGCGGGAGAGAGGGCTAAAGGTGACGCACGGGGGACTTGAGGGCAGTGAAAACACGCTGTATCGGTGGCCCGGTGGCTACGTGACGTTATACATTTGCCAAAACCTCACAGCACATACGACACCGAGGTGAACCTAACGTAAACCCTAGACCACGGCGGTCCTGATTCTGATGTGTCCGTGTAAGTTCACCCTTCGTCAAACACGCACGGCTCCGAGGGAGACGATGTGCTGTGCCACGGGGTCCTGGGGCAGGGTCTCCAGGGACGGGACCTGAAGGCTGTCTTCACAATGCCTTTTAGCCAGGAAAGCTGCCACAATGAATTCATTGACACCAACAGACTTCCTGCCCATTTCTAAAATATAACTTCTGTGTTCTAGATTTCAGCTTTGAAACCAAATCTTTTACACAAACACGAATAAAAGTCTACTTTAAAACTGTACTCTTGGGGCGCCTGGGTGGCGCAGTCGGTTGAGCCTCCGACTTCAGTCAGGTCACGATCTTGCGGTCCGTGAGTTCGAGCCCCGCGTCGGGCTCTGGGCTGATGGCTCAGAGCCTGGAGCCTGTTTCCGATTCTGTGTCTCCCTCTCTCTCTGCCCCTCCCCCGTTCATGCTCTGTCTCTCTCTGTCCCAAAAATAAATAAACGTTGAAAAAAAAAATTAAAAAAATAAATAAATAAAACTGTACTCAAGGGGCGCCTGGGTGGCTCAGTCGGTGGAGCGCGTGCGACTCTCTATCTCAAGGTTTTGAGTTCGAGCTCCGCGGTGGGTGCAGTGATTACTTGAAAAAATAAAATCTTTGATTAATTAATCAATCAATTAATTAAAACTGAACTTAAAATATCGATCTTTGGTGCTAATTTCTCAGGGTTTAGCTATCTTACCAAGCGAGGACCTCTATTTTCATTGGGAGAGCTCCACGGGGTCACAAAAGTCACACTTCAACCGAAACTGCAGAAAGGCAGGAATCCTATCTACACGTCGGTGTCCTCCCCCAAACCCCGTGTCCTCCCCCAAATTCCGAAACTTTGCAGAGGACTAAGCAGCATAAACGCACAAAACTGAATTCTTCCCTCTCCAGTGGCAACTGTATCAAGTTTCCAAAACAACACGCCCGGAAGTCACTCCACAGAATGTGGCTCAAGTCCTTGACGCGGGGAGGTAGACACCGAGCAGGCACTAGGGTGTCATCGAGCCCCCAGCACAGGAACCGCACCTCCCCAGCGGGTGAGCGTGACCTTCGGAGCCCCTAGCACCGGGTGGACTTGGGACGGAAGCCCGGGTCTACTCCCAGGGCCTGGGTTCCTGAAGTGTCAATCAGACCCCAATTAATTGTGAGGTAAGATACGAGGAAACGTTTTTTTAAATAGCATTCTTGAGCATAAATATATAAAAACGACACAAAACTGTTAGTGTCTCATGAGGACATCAGGACATCAGATTCAGACCTGGCTTCCCGAGTCTTCTGCAAGATCACAAATGTTTTCCTTTGATAAAAACACCACTAAGAACACAATTGAGGTCACACGTGGTGGCCCTCGGGCGCCATTAGCTGGATTCTCCCAGGGTTTCCAAACTTAATGAGTTGCCAACTTTGTCAAAGTTCACCGGGTTCACATAAAAAAATCCAGATTTTCAGCTGCCTTGTTCCATGGAGGCGGTCCCTCTGGTCCTTCCTGCCTTTCTGGGAGCATCTGGGCCTCACCTGCCCTCCTCAGGGAGTCACAGACCACAGCTCCCCGGCGCCAACCGCAGCGTCCGCGTCCTACCTGGCCAGGCTGCGCCAGACACGCCAGCGTGCGGCCCCCTGCACACGTATTTGTCTTCCAGCTCTGAGAAGGCATGTCGGCGGCCCCCTTTCTCAGTTCAGGCATGAAATGGGTTGTGATTTTAAATCCTAGACTTGAATGTAGTTTTGTAGTGTTCTCAATTCATAGAAACTGCCGTGCTTGTACGCATATATACAAATTCCTCCCCCCTCCAGGATGTCTTCCCCCAACTTTTTTTAAATGTTTGTTTTTTCGAGGGGGGGGGGGTGCAGACAGAGAAGAGACAGAGAATCCCTAGCAGGCTCTGAGCTGTCAGTGTGGAGCCCAACTCAGGGCTCAAACTCACGAAGCGTGAGATCATGGCCTGAGCCGAAATCAAGAGTTGGACGCTTCCCCAACTGAGCCACCCAGACGCCCTGCCTCCTCTTACCAAAAATTTTAAGATACTTCCTATGAAGAAACAATTCCGGGACAAGCAGTCTGCCTAGTTCACCTTGTTATGTTCCAGTTGTGTTTAATCCATGGATCTCACCGTGAACAAGACCAACAGACGCTGTAGTAGGACGTCAGGCACTGTTGGTGGGAATGTAAATCGGTGCAGCTACTGAGGAAAACAGTACAGGGGTTCCTAAAAACCACCACCTGACCGGACAATCCACGTCTGGGTACAGATCCAAAGGAAATGAAATCAATGCCTCCCAGGGAAATCTGCATTCCCATGGTCCCAGCAGCACCATTCACAGCGGCCGCGTCGTGGAAACAACCAAAGGGCCGCGGAGAGACGAGTGGGTAAAGAAAACGTGGTGTACGTAGGCGGAATGTAATCTAGTGACGACACGCATGAACCTGGAGGCCAACACGCTGGGTGAGGGAAGCCAGGCACAGGACAAACACTGCATGACCCCGCTTCCCTGAGAATCTACAGAAAACTCAGGGGAGCAGGGGCCGGGCGGAGGGAACGCACGCCAGCAGCAGTTCAGGCTGCGCACCAGCCAGTGCAGACATTACAGCACAGCGCGGTGCCCGCCGTCAACACGGACCACATACTGGA